AAATATAGACAAACGATCTACATATATACGCACACGATCTTCAAAAGTGGCACAACCCAAAATTTGGTATTTTTGAAATAATACACTAAAAATGCACACAGAGTTTTTATTTACCTTTAAGCACAAGCTGGAGCAAATTTTTGTTATAATTTGTTAAAAAAACTTAAGGTAAAGTCTCCCTTGCCCATATGTTTAACATGTGCTAAGAAATTGTGTAATATTGAGTTGTGTACTTTTGAAGATCGTGCGCGATATGTAGACAATGACTGAAATAGATATGAGACTATGATCCATGTCAAATCGACCAATGTTTGGAATCGAACATTTTTGATTTGGATAAATTTTGGTCAAAACTATTCTTTTCTCATATAACGAAGTCCTGCCACAGGACAACAAAAGTCGGATGTTCAAAATTTTACAATTTCCCGAAAAGTTTATTTTCTGAATATCTCAAAAACTATTAGATATAGTAGTGCCGGTATCTTTGAAATGTTCAACTTCTGCTGCTTTTTGGCAGCGAAGTTTTAGCAAAGTGCTGTACTAAGACTTTAGTGGTACACTGTAGTATATAAATTTTTCGCTAAATTTTTTTTTATACAATAGCTCTAACTGATCTTAAAAGATCCTAAAATTATTAAGATTTTTTTTTAGTACATATGAATTTTTGAACGTGGTAAAAAACCAAACTCTAATTAAAAATAAATAAGTAAAATTTTAATATAACTTTCTTTAAGTTGATTTTGAAAAAAAAAATTAAGTTCAAAAATTGATATCTTCAAAAAACACCTACACAATTTGAAGATCTTTTAAAATAAGTTGGAGGTATTGCATACAAAAATTTAACCAAAATTTTACAAGTTTTTTTAACTCACAATTCTGTAAATTTTAGTTTTCGAGTTTTTTATATGTCTACAAATGTATTTTTCTTTATAGCCCTAAATATTACCTTTAAAAGGAGACCAGAACAAATTTTGTAGCTATAAAAGTTTTTGAGATATTCAAAAAATTAACTTGCAAAGAAAAAACTTGTTCGAAAAAACTTGCATTTGTTTCTTTGGCAGAACTTTTTTATATGTATGATAAAACGTTCTGACTAGAATTCATCCAATTCAAAAATGATCTAAAGGATTTGTCGATTTGACGACATGAACTGAGCCATATATAACATACATATGTATGTGTATCCATATGTATGCACCAAAAAATTATGAACAAAAACCTACCTAAAGCGGCTGGTGTAGCCGGCAGAAGCACCACTTGACCGCGACTTGCATCGCGCGAATACTGCAAACCCACTGTGGCTGGAGACATGGAAATCACTGATTCGATAGGTAGAGCATCTAAAGCCATAAGAAAAAGCGAATAATTTTATTTAATGCGGTAGTAAAGAATAACAGCACATTTGAAATATGTTATAGTAGCATAAAAAAGGATAGCAATAAGCGATATTCAGAAAATTGCACTCACTTTGATATTGCCAAAATGTGGATGGTGCACGATTGACACTTTGTACACCTGCGGCGCTGAGTGCCAACTCTTCAGCAGTCGCCGAGCCGGCCACTAAATCACCATTGCCTGTGAAATAGATGTTGCTGCAACCAGTACTAACGCCACCTGGAAGGAGAGAAAGTGAAAGAAGAAACAAAAGAAAACATTTGAATTAGTAATTATATAAAACACAAAAAAGTAGTTCAAGAAAATCTGTATAAAACAAGCGTGCAAAGAAAAGAACGTGCGCGCCTAAAAGAAGGCTACTACAACACACCTGAGTATGCCAATGCGCCTATAAGTAGTAGACATATATCGCGGGAAAACACAAAACTAGCACTGCCTCGAATTTCTACACTCCGAATACTGACTAATTTAAGACGTAAGAAAACATAAACGAATTCATTTCCGGTTAAATTAAATTGAATACATATGTATGTAGGCCTGCTATCGAGTCCACCAACTTCCAAAAGTCAACTAAATTTCTGGAAATTTACAACGCAATACTTTGCAGATGTATGCACATGAATATTTATCTGCCTGTGTGTGTGTGTGTGTGTGTGTGTGTGCGTTTACGCATCGACCTTGAACTATTTGTTGGAGCTGTAGTTGTTGTTCCTGCTCCTGAAGCTATGCTTCTGCTGCTACTGTGATTCTCATCGATATTACTTACATACATACGCACACAAACACATTTATCTTTTACAAAATTCGCCGAGAATTCAATTTGTTGCTTTTGGTGATTTCGTGTTTTTGTTGCTGTCGGTCATTTGGTCAACAACGCTGCACTTTTCCTGCTGCATTCTTATGTTGTCCTTGCCACTCAGGATTAACATTAAACACTAACACGGTTTGCATAATTGTGACTGTACTTTCAGGTGAAACATGCTAGCGATGGGCTTAAATTATACATGTATGTACATATGTATGTATGTACGTATGTATGTAGGTGAGATGCTACTGATGGTGGTGTCATGATGATACGGCAAACATGTCTACATTTGCATGTATGTACATATGTATGTACATATACAAATCAATAAGAATTCCAGATGAGACCACGTGTCGGAACTACTAACCTTTACGACTTCCAGATATATAACTTTCATGGGCCCGAGGCAAATTATTTCAGATTCAATTTCCACGCTGATCTGAAAAATCTGCCATGAAAGTTAATATAAAATAAAAATTTGAACGCCAGAGGAGGAGGAAGGCTACTCAGGAGTACCCCAGTACACGTTTCCAGTTTCATCGAAATCGGGCCATAAATACAGACTCTGACCATAAATATGAATTTTTTGAATAACTCAAATTTAGCGCCATCTAGCGCATCCATTTTTCGTAAATGTAATTTCCATCATACCAGCAGTATGTTTTTAATTTCATCAAAATCGGACCATAAATATAAATTTTCTGAATATCTCGACTTATGTATGTCTATGTTTATGCAACGGGTCTTAGGAATATACTGTCCAAATTTGGTTGAAATCCGTTCATAAGTTTTTGAGCCGAGTTTCAACAAAGAAAACGGTTACATTTTTATATTTGTATATTATATCCTATATAATATCAAAAACAACAACAAATCAAATCAGATTATCGAGAACACCCATAAAGAAACAGATACATGGACATTAACATCAGGATCGAAAATATCCTTCGACAAACCCAAAAAAAAATTACACATCTGCAAAAAACACCAATGTAACGCAAACCAACACAACATAGCCCTACAAACCAATACTATTCAAAACGTCGAAGAACACCGAATTCTGGGATTAATATTCACCAACAACTACTACTGGAATCGCCAATACTCTACTCTAAAGAAAAGCACGACGGCCTACAGTAAACCTCATTTCATATCTCTCATCCAAAGGATATGTGCACGTTAACACCCTCACACACCTCATAAAAACAATAGTTATCTGCAAAATTGATTATGGCTGCATTTCTTTATTCATTCTGAACGTTTGGAATAAACTTTTTTGTTTACTTATTCTTTAGAACGTTCCTGATGATATGTTAACGTATATTTCAAACACATTCTGTTTATTCCGGCTGTGAAATGGGATTATCCGGAATGTATAAAGAAACGCAGCCTATGTTTTATTTCTTTACGACTTAGCTTCAAAAACTAGTCTTAACACCATAAAGAGCACATATCATAAAGCTATCATCAGAGTGGCCCTTTTCGCCTTCCGCACTACGCCACAAAAAATCTGTTCGAGCCAAACTGATTCCAAAAATGAACTTCCAAACAAACCCAATAATAGACAGAGGTGCGAAAAGACTGGTGACAAACAAGCGAGCTGTAAGGACTACCCAAGTAATATCAAGAGTGCTACAACTCTGTGCCGAATACAAAATTGTACCAAAACTTAATGCAATCGATAATCACAATTCTCCCTGGAAGATTAATAAAGGCGTCAAGCAACCTGTCGTTAAATAGATATTAAATGGGCATCACCACTAATTCCACCTCTAAACAACTCATTCTACAAAAAAACAACCGACCTCAAAAGGCACGGATGGACTATCATTTACACAGATGGCTCCAAAACAAACTCCTCAACAGCGTTTATTGTTATGACCGAATCTGGCTCTTATTTAAGTATGAAGCAAATGTTTCATCTTTTCCCAATATTTTCTGCAGAAGCAACCGCCATTCTATGTATCTATAAAGAGGAAAACGTGGTCATATGCTCTGATAGCTTCTCAGCCGTACGAGCGGTGAGAAATCCCAACTATAACAACTGGGAAACCATCAACAATAGATATACTAACAAGTAATTTTTAGCAAAAAAAAAACCGACTTAAAAAAAAATATATATATATCTATATATTTCATGATCCAATGATCGGATCTAAACCAAATTAGTATGGGACCACCTCTGAGACACTACCTTTCCGTTGCAAAAAGAATTATTGAAATCGGTTGACGTGGTGCAAAGTTATGCGGTAACATACATAAAAAAAAAAAAAAAGATTCCGACGAACTGATAACCTCCTCCTTTTTTGGAAGTCGGTTAATAAATGGGAAATTCGCATGTAAGGCACCCATCATTACCGCTACAAACATGGAAAAAAAAACTGAAATAAAACAACACATTCGCCAAAACCTAAATGAAAAATCAAAAACAGAATTCTAAAACTACCAACACCCGAACTACTCAGCCAGCAACAAAGATCTTATACCTCCGCAATAAACCCACTAATGTAAACGGTTTCAAAATCAAGATATTTTCTCGACTCCGTCTTGGGCACACGACACAAACACATGTATATCTTCCAAAAAAAAAAAGAAAGAAAACCAAACACTCTGCGAAAACTGCAACTCACACCAAACATTGCAACACATCCTCAACGATTGCCCTCTCTATACGAAGAAGCAAAACCAACAATACTTGACTCACAGAACATTACGGAAATACTCGTGATTCCCACCAGCACAAACATAGAAAGAAAAAGGAAAATAGGTTTGTTAAAACTATTGATCTAACTATTTAACCACTAAAACTACGTGACGCACACATAACTATAAACAGAGCTCATTCTTGCAACATGGAGCTGATGGCCTCGGTAGCCAATGCTCACATAAACTATGAGGTTCTTGTTATTCATATCAGTACTACATATATAATAATAATAATAATACTCGCCAAGGAGCAAAAAAAAATTTAAAACAACTATTACATCATTAAATTAGTTTCAGTGTTTATTAAAACCCTAGTGCTTTGATAAAGTTATCAACTGAAGAATTTTAATTTTTATAAAGTTTAATAACTAGTCTGGGCGTGTGGGAGAATATTTTTGACCTAACGGGTTGACTAAACTCCCCAAATAGGGCGAAGGTATGTGTGTTTCCACCTGGCTTTTGGTATACTACAAACTGTATGATTAGATCAAACTTTGATTGCGTTTTCCCACAAAATTGGAATTTTGCAATAATTCTATATATTGTTCTAAGCTTTAATAATATATAGAATTATTCCAAAATTCTACACTTAATTTAGTATACACTTAATTTACGTAACGTAACCTAATATGTGGGCCAACGCAATATATTTTTGTTCAGGAATTTTTTCATCCGCCTTATAGGCGGTCAGGTCAAGTGACAATCAGCTAAAAAGGAAAATACAAAAACTAAATATTTTCGCGTCTGTCTAAGTTGACGTGTTGAGTAACCATTGACGATTTCTTACGTTTGTTAAGTTAAGTCAAGACTAACTGAACTTTAAAGGTGCTTTATGTATGTATAAGTATATATAGATTGGCACAACACTTTGAGTATTTGAGTGGATGTCAAGTCCACAGTAGTTTTTAATCTTTGAAGAATTGTGACAGAATTCACATAAGATTACATGACCACAGAACAGATTCCAAGACTTCGAAAATTGGGAGCTTCTTGAGGCCCGTTCGATCAAGTCATCATCCAATTCACTCTAAATTTCAACTACGATTTCGTCTTCTCCCTATTGTAATGAAATTTTTTCTATGCACATACATTGTTTTTTAAATAATATATAAATTCAAATAAAGAATGTTATTAAAAATATTATACATACATTAGAGTGTATCACGCTTTATACAAAAAAATCGATGCTACTTTTCTGTATAATATTTATTATATTTTAAGACTTCCGCCAACATATTTCAGAAAAACTTTCAGATTTATGTAAGCTGCACCGATTTAAAAAAAAAACTCCATAAATCGACATCTTATACTTATGTAAATCAAAACAGTTTTTGAAAATATTAAAAAAAAAATCATTCAGAGATAGAAGAGCTTAAGCTTAGAAGGTCAGCATGAAATTGTTTAAGCATTTTATCAACAAAATCAAAATAATCCGATTTTTTGGGGTACTGAGTTCAAGCCATTAAGCATCAAACAAGAAGAAAAAGAACTTTGGGGTAGTGCGCAACAAAAAAAAAATGTTTCAATGTTTGAAAGAAAATAAATTAATATACCCAGCAAACACAGTTTCAAACGGTTGAGAAAAGTTTATTTCTCAATTTGATCTCAAATGATTTTTTAATCGAAAACGTTGTTTACATGCAACATTTGAAATTCATTTGACATTGATTTGAAGAAACGTGGTAACGTTATAATCATCGATACATTTTACTAAAAATTGTAAATCTCTTAAATCTATGTGTGTTAAATAAAAAATGGTAAGAACAATATTAAAGTCATTTGAAAAAAATAACAACGAATAGAAAAAATAAATAAAAAGAGAACGCAGACAAATATTGGAATTGATGTTTGTGCGGGGTGATGACTCCAGCGAAAAGTCTACCGCGTAAAAAGAAATTAAAAGTTCTATATCTAACTTAATTATAGAACGATTTTGCTGCTATTTATAATATA